TTTTTTGAGACAGAGTCTTACTCTGTCACCAGGTGCCAGGCTGGAGTGCAGCGTCGTGACCTCGGCTCACTGCAACCTCTACCTCCCGGGTTCAAGCAATTCACCTGCCTCAGCCTCCTGAGTAGCTGGGACTACAGGTGCGCGCCACCATGCCCAGCTAATTTTTTTGTATGTTTAGTAGAGACGGGGTTTCACCATGTTGGCCAGGATGGTCTCCATCTCTTGACCTCATGATCCGCCCGCCTCGGCCTTCCAAAATGCTGGGATTACAGGCGTGAGCCACCGCCCCCGGCTGGATTTTTCTTATGTGGCCTTTATTATGTTGATGTAATTTCCTTCCAGTTCTAGTTTGTTGAGTGTTTTTATCATCAGATGGTGTTGAATTTTGTTGAATGCTTTTTCTGCATTAATTGAGACGACCATGTGGTTTCAGTCCTTCATTCTGTTAATTTAGTATATTATACTTTAACATGTTGAAAAGCATCTACTTTAAGATACACAAGATATAATACATGAAATCTTAGGAATCTGAATGTATTTTCTGATCATTGCATAAGAAATGAGCAATGATTTGATTTGCCTCTTTTATGATAAACAGGTTTTGAGGAAATTCACAACCATAAGACTCATTTTAAAAAGAACAAATAATGAAATTGGAAGTGGGAAGTGTACATAGGTATAAAAGTCACAAATCAGTATTTTTTATTGGTTATTTTGTTGACTTATCTAAAATTATAATTTTATTTTTGGGACTATAGCAATATTTTAACATTAGAGATATTTTATTTATACTCTTACTTTGTTTTTTGTTTTTTTTAAATGGAGTCTTACTCTGTCACCCAGGCTGAAGTGCAGTGGTGCATTCTTGGCTCACTGCAACCTCCACTTCCTAGGTTCAAGTGTTTCTCCTGCCTCAGTCTCCCAACTAGCTGGGATTACAGATGTGTGCCACCACACTGGCTAATTTTTTGTATTTTTATTAGAGACTGGATTTCGCCATGTTGGCCAGGCTGTTCTCAAACTCCTGACCTTAGGCGATCTGCCAGCTTTAGCCTTCCAAAATGCTGGGATTACAGGTATGATCCACTGTGTCCAGCCTTATAATATTACTTTGAACCATGTAAAGCTGCATTTTTGGCTGAAAAAATAGTCGAGTATTAGCAATGTTATATTGTATACCATACATGTAGTTGTATCTGAAAGTATTTGGCAAATTTCTAAGAGTGTGATTCTGTTTTAACAGTGTTAAAGTTATTTGCCTTTCTTTAACAAAAGATACTTTTATTAATACTTTTCTTTATGGTGCTTACTTTTTAAAACTTATATTCAAAGTTGAACAAGAGTATGCTAAACTGAGTAGTAGCAATTCCTGTGAGTTTAACTATATCTAAACTTCAGCCATTCTCTTTTGTAATAGTGAATTATTTCTTGTTAGTTACCCTTCATCTAAGCATGCTTTTGTCTATCATTTTGTTATAGTCACACAAATTGCCTTCTGTATTTCAAAAAAAAGATGAGAGTAATAATTGTAGTAATAATAGCTAACATTCATTGAGGGCTTATTATATGTCAGGCATTGTCCCAAGACTTTGATTAATTTGTTTAATCCTCATAATTATCCTGCAATGTTATCACCTTTTTACGTATGAAGAACAAAGGCCCTGAGCGGCTTACCAACCTGCCCAAGGTTACATCAGCTATTACGTGGCGGAGCAGAATAATGACTGATTACTTGCACATGACACATAATTTGAATCATCTATATATTTCCATGTAATTAATAATTCTATTATTTGATGATTAGATGTCTAAAATTTTTATTTAAATTTTGAATAGTTTTAAGGTTGCATGTTACCCATTATAATTTCTTAAAATAAATGAACTGTTTTTTTTATTCTTTTTTTTTTCTTTTTTCTTTTTGTTTGTTGTTGTTCACAGGATGGACAACCTGAAATTTTCTACACATTTTGGAATTCAGTTACTCAGGCACTTTCTTCTCAGTTTCATATGGCAACAAACTGTAAGTTTACTGCTTATTTTGCAAATTAATTTCAAGGTTTTTAGTTACTTTGTCATTTGATGTCAACAAGCTTTGCTGTATTGGTTTACAAACCATTTTTATTGCTGGTTTAAAACTCCTGGTTAATTGTCATTTTGTCTAGATGTTTATTCTGAAATCTCTTAGACAGTAAATCAGTAAGCAAAATTTTTACACATTTTTGTAATTAGTATTTAGAATAAAATTCTCCAGAAAAATTAGTCATATCTTACTTACTATTCAGATATCAAATTCTGTCTGTTTCTTATGTAGGGTATGTAAAGCAGTTAATGTTGAAGAATGTAGTTCATGCTTTTAGAATTAATTTATAACTAAAAGATATAAAAATACAGAGACTTTGCAAATTGTTCTTTATGTTAAAAATGAAGATTTAATAAATAGGTGAAATATCTGCATCATGATTTAAAAGTTGGTCTTTCAAATATGTTTCACAAAACTTCTTAATTTCTTTATACCATGAAATAATGGCATGGTAGGTCTATACAATGAAATATGCAAACCAGCTAATATCTTATGCATGTGTTTGTCTAAATACTGTAGGTAAAATTAAAAAACAGGTAACAGTTCATTTCTATTTAAATGTTTATTCACAAGCATTTACTAGAAGTACTTACTATATGCTAAATATTATTTAGTCACTGGGACCTCCCAGAGTCGAATAAACTATTCTGCTTGCCTCTCTACTTATTTCTAATGAAGTATGTAGTAAGACAGTAACCACAAAGAAGTCTTCATTCATTTGTAACTAAATAGAACTTAAGCTAATGGTATATTAGGGTTCATTTATTCCATTTACTTGATTTTTTTTTTTTTTTTTGAGACAAGTCACACTCTGTCACCCAGGCTGAAGTGCAGTGATGTGATTGCAGCTCACTGCAGCCTCCGCCTCCTGGATTCAAGCAGTTCTCCTGCCTCAGCCTCCCTAGTAGCTGTGACTGCAGGCATGTGCCACCACGCTCGGCTAATATTTTTGTATTTTTAGTAGAGATGGGGTTTCACCATGTTGGTCAGGCTGGCCTCAAATTCCTGACCTCAAATGATCCACCCGCCTTGGGCTCCCAAAGTGCTGGGATTACAGGCGTGAGCCACTGCGCCCGGCCTATTCCATTTACTTGTGAATCACACTGCTCATCTTGGAAGGGATTAAATATTGTCTATTTTCTTGCATTAGGTTTTTCTTTTTGGTCAGCTTTTTGAGATATAACTTATATGCAGTAAACATCACCAATTTTAAACATAAAATTCTATGATATTTGACATGTTTACATTCACATAGCCATCATTACAATTAAGATATAGAACATTTCCTTTTGCTGAAATAATTGAAAATATAAAAGAAGAGGAAAAAAAGATATAGAACATTTCCATCATTCCCAAATTTTTGTTACATACTTTTGCAGCTTATCTGCTGCCTTCACTCTCGAGGTCTTGGCAACAAGTAAAATCACATAGTATACATTGTTTGATCATCAGCATAATTAAGATTCTTCTATGTTGTTGCATATATTGGTGGTCCATTTACTTTTAAATTGTTGCATTGTATTTTATTGTGTGTGTGTGTGTGTGTGTGTATGTATGTATATGTGTATGTGTGTGTGTGTGTGTGTATGTGTGTGTGTGTATATATTTATACACCACAATTTTTTATCCATTCCGTGATTGGGAAACAAGTTGGATTATTATGAATAAAGTTACAATTATTTACATGCATGGGTCTTTTGTGGACCTGTATATTCATTCTCTTGTGTAAATATGTAAGAGTGGAGTTTTTCAATTATTTGGTAAACGTTGGTTAACTTTACAGAAACTACAGTAATATATTCCAAAATGGATGTACCATTTTGCATTTCCATCAACAATGTGAACTCATCACATGTTGATCTATAGATTCAATACAATCCTTATCAAAATGCCAGGAGTCAATTTTTGTAGGCAAGGTGACTCACATCTCTAAGCACTTTGGGAAGCCAGGGCAGGCGGATCACAAAGTCAGGAGATCGAGACCATCCTGTCCAACATGGCAAAACTCCATCTCTACTAAAATACAAAAAAATTAGCTGGGCATGGTGACACATGCCTATAGTCTCAGCTACTTGGGAGGCTGAGGTAGGGGAATCACTTGAACCCAGGAGGTGGAGGCTGCAGTGAGCCGAGATCACGCCTCTGCACTCCAGCCTGGGCAACAGAGCAAGGTTCTGTAAAAAAGAAAAAATCCATTAGCATACTTGAAAATTTCAAGCCTTTAACCATTATATATTCCTATATTGTTTACTATTTATTGTTTTAGAACAGTTTTAATAGAAATTGTAGAAGGTAAACTAAGTAAATTGTACAAACAATAAGTAAGTTGAACTCTGTAGAGTAAGACTGGGATAGAAATGTCCTTGCCCGCTAATTCTGTGTCAATTCTGGTTTTAGTTTAGTTGAATTTTCTTTCCATCAGATTTGATATTTTTCTACTTATTTGGATGTCTAATATTTTTATTGGATGTTAGACGTGAACTTAAACTTGTTTGATGCTGATTAATTTTGTCATCTTGTAAATATTTTTTATCTCTGACACTATCAGATTACTTAAAAACAGTTTGATTTTTCTGAGTCTTGCTTTAAGATTTATTAGCAAATTCAAAACAGTAATAATCTGCTATTTATTTCCCAGTTGTGAGACAGCACTCTTCTTAACCCCCTCAATACCTGGTGAATTATGAGGTTTTCCAGCCTGGCTTTAGAGAATAGGCACTTTTCTCAGTCTTATGTGAATGTAGCAGGATGGTCCCTGTAAACCTTTCTCATAGTTTTTCCCCAAACTCTGGAAGTTTAACTTTGGTCAGCGCTTTGCTGACTGCCCAAGGTGAACCCTTTGCAGATCTCTGGAATTCCCTGCCTCTGTAGCTCTGTTGTCTCTGGTGTGAACTCTAGTTGCTTCTGTTTGGCTGTGTGGAAGGTACAGGATAGAGGGAAGGGTATTTTCCCCCTTTCTGTGCCATATCCTATAAAGTCCTTTAAGGTAAATGAGCTGGGGCACTCACAGGGTTCATCTCATTTGTTCCTGACTCTGAGGAATCGCTGTCCTATATTTTGTGTTAAATGTCTTGAAAGCCATCATTTCATATATTGTTTCTATTTTTTTTGTTTGTTTCAGATAGGATGGTAAATCTGGTCACTATTATATCATTGTGACCATAAGCAAAAGTTCCTCTTTAAAACTTCAATGAGGAACTTTTGCTTATGGTCATAAAGATTTACATAATGATTAAAATTTAATGATTCAAATTTAAATAATGATTAAAAGCTTATTTCAGAATATTATATGGGAGTGTGTGTATACATTTATTTAGTGATACTGTCATTTACTTGTCGGTGATCATCCGCTTTTCTTCTCTTAACCATGACAAACCTTCAGTATTCTCCATATATCTTCCTTTTTCCCATTCTATCCTACCCTCTGTAACCAACCGTATCTCCGGGGTCATTAGGACAATTAATGTCTTTAAGAAATTTTTTCCTGTACCTTTCTTCCAAATAAGAGCCTTATTTCCTCCCTTTGTGCCTCAGAAGATAACTTACCTCTTCTTCAAGGCTACCCATTTACCGGTGCCCACACCTACTTTGTTTATTTCTGTCTCCTGGCATCATAATTTATACTTCTCCTTTTTCTGTGTTGGATTTCTACTTCTCTTTTAATTTCTTTCTTTCAGCTATAAGCCTATTCAAGTTGCTCCCATGTAATAAAAACTAAAACTAGAAAGTTCCTCTTTAGTTGCTATTTACTTTCTCTCTTTTATATGTAAATTTCTCCAAAGAGTAGTTTGCATTTTTTGATCTTCATTTTCATACTGTTGATTTCTCAACTAGGTGTAATCTGGCTGTCTTCCATCATTCTATTGGAATTGTTCTCATTAAGGAAAGCAATGACCTACTTTTTAATTGCCAGTGTATGTTTTCAGTTCTTACCTTATGGGACCTGTCTGTCTTGTATGGTGAAAGAAGCTAATGAGAGGAAACATATAATATTTAGACAGAAAATCCCATTAATATTTCACCTTGAGGGTGGCCTGTTACTTCCAATACCATTATTACTTTAATAACTTCCTTTGGGAGAACTCCAAAGTAACTTGTTTATAAAGTACCTTCAATTTTTATAGCACGTACAGTCCCTGAAGTGTACTGTAGTACTTCTTGGAATTATAGACAGGCAATATTAAGGAAGTGCAACCATCTGCAGAGTTGAGGATTACACACAATGTAACAGATTGTCTAAGTAAGTAATATTTTGGCAAAGTATATCTAAAGGGAAATGTTCCTAGTTAGGAACATGTTCTTTCTGTTTATACATGTTCATGCTTAGTTAAAAAAAAAAAAAAAGTTCTATTGGAAGGTATGATCCAGGAGTTTGACAAACAATAAATTTACTTCTTTTGGGAAGTATGCTTGAAAAATCTAGCCAGTACATCTCTTTTCACATGTCTAAAACCCCTTGTGCAATATTAGTCTCTGAAAATTCTTAAGCAACTCAAAGAAGTTGTTCATACAATTTAGAGAGCTCATGGTTATATATCTGTTATACTTGGCTTCCCAAACCAAGAATGAATAAGAGATACATTGAGATATATGTGTTTTAAAATTTAAAAAGTTGAAAGCCTTGAAATACTGTATTCTAAGGCTCATTATCTTTACCTTTAAAAAATATTTATAGTGCTAAAGAGTCAAATCTTTGCAAGAATTAGTGAGATAAATTATATGAGTATGTATGTTCTTTAGAAAAAAAAAATGGTTAAACTGGTGTGCAAGTTGAGATCGTACTGTGACTATTTCTTAAAAGTTAATGTCCACTTTAATATATATAACTTACGGAGCTAGACCTAATATACTCATTTAAAGTACTTTTTAGAATTTTGATCCTTGCAATGGAAGCATTTTGTTACATAGTTCTAATGAGCCTGTAAGGTACCATGTTAAAC